TTTGTACTCATGCGCAGTGCGTTTTACCGCGGTGTTCATCGAATGCACATTGTCTGTTTCCAAGAAAAATCGTTTACTACTTCCGCTTATATCAGCTTGAGGTAATGCGAGAAGAAATTAGGATCACAAGTGTGCATATATTTGGTCAAGGAATTCGTATCAGGAACTAGCTGAGGAATGGCTTCTTACACGGAGGAACCTTGTGCTAAAAGATCGCGTTTGGCAATCGGAGAGCCACATGATGAACGACGTTACAGACGCATCACGCTCGACATGGAAAGGTACGACAAATGGGTCCATGAACTGTCAGAACAGCAACTTATCAGCACGTTTGATCTCGGAGTCAAAGTCAAAGAATCCATCTTCTTCACCGTAAACGTGGACCAAAAATTCATGGAAACGGCGCTTTCACTGCAGATGAAACCAGTTCAAGAAACCGTTAAGAACATCGAGAGTGAGGTAAAACAGCAAGTGCAGGCGGTGCAAGACCGTGTTACTCAAAGTGTCGACGATCAAATGAGGAAAATGGCGGACGACGTGCAGAAGCTCAAAGGCAATCTGAAAAAGGATATCGACGATACTCTCACTCCAAAGATGGAAGAAATTCAAGGCACGATGGATAAGATTGATAAGAAAGTAGATCAGAAGGTCTTAGAAGCTCAAGTAAAAGCCACAGAAAGCGTTTGTGATAATGTGAAGCAAATGACCGATAACGTGCTTGGTTTCAAGGAAGGGTTGATTGAAAATGTCAAGAGCATCGGAACCAAGTTAGAGGAAGATGTAAAGAGCGTCACGGCAAAAGTACCGCCTCTGGATACACTTAAGTTCCAGATAAACGAATCAGAGAAACGAATCACTGATAAACTTGATTCGATATCTGCCATTTTAGAAAATCCCAACAAGAAAGGAGCTCGCGCAGAGAAAAATGTGCTTGGCATCCTTAACAAAGACCTTCGCAATTGCGGCTTCACTTTTCAGGACACCTCTTCCGCGACGGGGAAAGGAGATATAGAAGCTGTGACCCCTGATGGTTACAAGATCATGATTGAAGTAAAAGAGTGGAAATCCTCTGTGACCAGGGAAGCAATCGAGGCGTTTGAAAACCACCTCGCCATGTCTCCCGATTTTAAAGTGGGTATCTTGCTGTCGATGAGTAGCCGAATCGACAAGCGATCGAAGAGAAGTCCATTTGAAGTTGCTGTTAACCACGATCAAAAGCAGTACCAGATCTACGTGCCAAACGCATACGTCGACAACGAAGAACATCTCATTGTGTGGAGTGTGATCATGGCCGAACAGTTAGCGAAGATAGAGGCCGGGGAGTTGGGGGAAAAGAAGACCCAAAAACTGAGCAAGATCTATGAAGAGTTTAAGGATAACTTACAGCACAGCAAGAATTGCCGAACAAATCTTGAGTCTCTGGAGAACTCGGTGAAAAACCTGAAAGCCAACATCGTCCCAATCCTCGACACCGTCGACAAGACGAAGAATGACGTTTACAATCTGTTGCATTAAAACTTTCACGTGTGAACTCTTCCGGCTGAACTGAAACTGGTGAAATTCGTTCTCCTCAACAGATTTTGAGACGAATACAATCAGATTTGCAAAAACACTCTCTTTATTTAGCATTTGAACCCATTCTTTGACTTCTCGTAATTATTATGCTTTGTTTAAAATATATTCTGCAAGTTTCCTTCAGTATAAGGGACCGTTCATTTTTTATAAGGTAGGGGGGGCTGGTGGGATTTGGG